GTTTGGTTAACATCACTTTAATCGCGTAATCTCACTTAAATAAATGTTACCACAAAAAGTTGTCGCCCAGGGTGCGGACTTTCATTGCGTTTATATTTCAAGTGGTTAGTTAGGATAAAAGACAAGTTTACTAACCAAATTTTTACGCCTATCTTTTTTATAGGGCGTTAATAAGATTATAATTTAAACTGCAACCAGTAAAAAGTTTAAAGACGATTAATTAGTGCTTTTGTGAGCTGTTTTTTGGTTGAGAGAGAAATATTGCCCACTTCATTTTTTCTATATAACTTTGGGGCGCTCGTGAGTCGTGACTTTTGAGTTTGAAGACTTTTTGCACTGGAGATATGAAAGTTCTACAATGTCATTGGGCACAATAGTATTTGTCGATATTTTGGGATTCATCCTTAGTTATCTATACAGAGTGGTTCAAGTTCGTGTATCACTATTGGGATCTCCGTAACGGTGAGAGATACAGCGTTTCTTAAATGTGGGCAAAGTTCCCCTTTTTTGTGACATTATGGACATTCTGATAAGATGCGGTACGTCCGAAAAAAATTGCCTATAGAATATGCTAACGAGAACCGTCGATTTTTGACCGTTTAAGGTCATAAAGTCAGATATTTTAGATGTTTGGCGTTTGCAGCATAATCGTGGGGGTTTCCGCCCTGACTCTAGATAATGCTTACGTTAAGGCCGATTCTAACTCAAAAAGTCACTAGATAAGTACCAGACGAAGCGCTTTATGAGCGCTACCTAAAGGCGGGGATACTCTAGAAAAATTTCTGGCGCGAGTTGCTGTCTGATAGCACTGTCAAGTGTAAACACCACCGTACGTACGTAGTTTGCGCATGCGCACATGTAATTTTGATAATATGCGATATGCTTGGTCTTGACTAGAAGAATCAGTTGTTAAAATTTCAAGAAAAATATTGCTATAAATAAGAAAGTTGTATATGCATATATGAACTTTTTTGTAAAACTCCCAATTTTCGACGGCAAGATGCTCATGATCTGCTCGTTTTGCTGTCAGCACCAACATCGTCTCAAAGTAACATGTACCTTCGCAATCCAGGAAGAGGTAGAATTGATGAATTGCCTTATCTCTGTGCATTTAATTAAGAGTATGATCGTATAATTGTAAAAGAGCATATTTTATTATTAATTTGCTAATGACAATACCCATGCTACACTCGCATTTACGCAATGCATGTGTAGAATGTCGTTAATTTGGCAAATAAGCTAACACAATCATAAGATTATTGTATGGATACAATAAACGAAAGACAAAAGAACTACATCACCTGAGTAATTGTCGTAACAACCAATATTCAAATTGCATTTTAGCGCGCAAATTCGATGAAATAGTTAATATAATATAATATGGAAAAGCGTATTTTTCGTTACTTTAACACACTTCCGCATGTGCGATTTTGCTGACGACATAGGACCAACATCATGTAGATTTTGTTTGATTCGGGTTCCTGGTGCTTCAAAACGTGTATTTCAGTAAAAAAAAAGTGAGGAGGGGTTATTTTTTTTACCTCAATGCCTCCCTTACTAACGTGCGGGGGTAAAAGTTACAACTACACCACCTTTTGTAGGGCAAAAGTCCATACTGACTGGACTAAATACCACATCAAATAACGTTTTTTTGGCAAATAACTGCACGTCAAGTGTGACGTTTCTGATACATCACAATTCACAGGGCTGAATAGATGCATACGTTATCGTTCCAAATGATGTCAGCCTTTTACGCACTTTTGCAATTAGATATTAATTCCCGCAAGTAACTTGATATGGACCCAAAACGAACAGGACTTGAGAGGTGAGCTCCACGTACTTTTGGAACATGATCTCCCTAGTCCCTATTTGTCGTGCAGGTCGCAAATGTCTGAAATCTACTTCCTAAAGGAATTTGTGTGCGAGGATCTGAAGAACGAAATGATAGTAATCTTACCATTAATTCTTTTACGTTTATAACAGTAATATTATTGAGCCCGCAGCGTCACGTCGTTGCCAGGCAACGCGCTTCGTGGAGTGGATTTACGCTCTGCATCCAAGCATATTCACGGCTGTTGCATACGCGGTCCGGCAGTTCAGTTCACGCAGCGATCACTAGCGGTAGCGTCCGTCACACTTGCGCGTTGTTTCTTTGATTGTAACGGCATTCGAGATCTTGGAACAAAAACAGTGTGGGATTAAATTCTTGATTTCTTCTGACCTTAGCGGTAAGTAGTCGAGTGCCAAATTTTCTCTTTGCGTAAACACGCATTGAAATAAAATTTAATTAACATTCTCCTCGAGAAAACAAATTATTTTTATGATTTCTCCTTTTCGAATTTCGTTAGTGCCTGACCTAACGATTAAATTTTAACTTTACAATTCCAAATTATAGTAAATGAGGTGGAGATGGCTACTAATTAATTGCTCTATAATTTATTTACGCAATGCCACTCAACCACGAAATGTAATTGTCGAGAACTAACTAATTCGCCACCGAACGAAACGGATGTTTTTCTCTTAATATCCATATGTAGACAATATAATTAACCTTTCTCATTTACATATTTTTTCATTTTATCACTCTCTTGAGATTCAGCGGAGGGCAGTGTGTTCCGCGGACCGGAAACGTAATAAAACAAGTGCGGGCGCATGATGGAGCTCCAGCATCCGCCTGAAACTTTCAAGCGCGGTTTGGGGGCGATTTCATAAATTTTGTAATTGAGAGTAACCGTGTAGCGGAAAATTTGGATGCGGTTGAACTCTTACACTATGCGGTTATGTAATAATTTATTAATTATGTGATCGGGCGAGCAAGGGGGGAGGTCAAGGTACCTGTGTATGTAAAAAATACCTATGTTTTTAAACCGCAAGATTTGTTATTCTATGCGTGCTCCAACGAGGTCTCGACGCTTGTGCTAATTAAGGCAGGGGGTAGATTTCCGATCCTTTAAGTCTTAATTAAGGTCCATTCCAATTAGACTGCGCAGCAGATGATAACAATGATTGGAGGGCATTCAAACTGCCGATACCTTGTCAAGTGGGGCATTGTATGATGATTTGCTAATCTCTTTATCTGTTCTGCAATGTCTTTTTATCTCAGACAATTAGAGATAATCGCATTGCGCAAAGATGACACTTTGTATAGCATTGAAGATTCACAAAGTTATGCTTCGACCAAACAAAGACACGCTTTCGACAGGGTTGAAATCGAGGTTGAAATGGTTGAAGTGTAAGTATAATAGATCGCCAGCTTTTAGGCAGCATCTTCGGTTACCACCCTTGTTGGTTATTAATTCATAAGAGAAGCGAGGGTACCGTAAAACGTTAAATTTAGAGTGAATGGAGTTCTTGAGGGAGCCATGATTTAGTATCAATTTCGAGGGGTAATTTTTAACGCAGCCAGAGAAACTACCCCATATTGGTTAAACTGTGATAGATTTACGATTTTTAATAAAACTTTGATTACATCGTATGAAATCATTATAGGTACATTTTAGTATACTTATATGTATATTTTGGTTCTTCAAGTTTGATATAATTGATAGCAAGCTAACTATCTAATCATTATTAATGCTAGTTTAATATGCTCGAGAACATATCTACCGATAGAAGCTTGATATTGTTTGGCAATATGGAACGAAAGTTGTTCTAATTAAGAATTTTACCATTTTGACGCACTACATTAGAGAAAGAAACTGGCAATACATACTTAATAATACCCTCGATAATGCCTAGGCTAACAGTAACCAGTACTACTGCATGGTGCTTGAAAGGTTTATGTTAAAGTATGCCAGAGGTTACCACTTTCGTTTATGTGCAAAACGCCATCAATATCCTAAAATATAAAAATTCACCACTTGGAAAATTGTTGTGTACCATTTACATGAATTACTAAGTCTACTGAATTTGAAGTCACAAATAATTGTATGAAGTTACTTACCGTTCACCGTTCATTTACTGATTTTGCAAATAGTTACTGAATTTAGCTTAGAATTTAAAAAAAAAATATTAAAATTGCGGGGGAACGCCACAACATTTTTATGTACAGCCCTCCGGAATTTGTGGGACCTATATTAGTGTGGGGTTAGTGAAATTAGAATTTCAATTAGTGTAATTAGAATTTGAATTAGTGATACTGCTATAGGTATGCATTTTTTTGTTTTTACAGTTGTGCTAGATCAAAAAATTCGAAAAAATCTCAACTGCAATTCTTCTGTTTTTTTACGTTTAAGAACTAAAAAGATAGAATGTACAGAGAGAGTGTACGTTAAAGCGTAGTTATATTTCAAAAATATCTCTTCATAAATAGGACAGTTGACGTCTATAAGTAGTTAAAATATAAGAAAAATTGATATTATGTGGTTAAAATTTTAAAATATACGGCGGTGTCAATTTTAGAACTTGTAATCGGCCATATTTTCCAAGCTAAAGAAGATATTTGAAAATCGCGCAAAACCAGAATGGAAAGCAGTTTGATTTTTAAGATAATTTTTCGAGAGAAATTCCCTCGGAAATTCCCCTTATGTGATGGTTTTGTCTATCCGTCGGTCCGGTCGTCTCATGTATTCTTCGAAAACGAAAAGAGACAGAGATTCCAAACCTTTGCCCTCGCCTTTGCCAATTGATTTCTACTAGGTTCTGTACTAGGATCTGTGCTATTGAATATGAGCCAAATTAAAAGTCGTTTTTAAGAATGCGAGCTGAGAGTCAAAGAATTCTCCTACTGAAAATCTCATATGCGATTCTTCGTATCTTGTTACTATATGCGCTGTTTTTCTTTACTAGAAGCAGCTACTAGAGCATCTATGCTTAAAATCTCAAAGAAATGTCTCCATAAATAAGAGAGTTGACATTGCGCATTCGCACATCAGATTTTTACAATCTGTGATATGTTGGCGTTTACCAGAAGCACATGCAGTACAAATTTTCAAAAAAAATATTAATAAATAAGGAAGTTGATATTGCGCAGTCTGCTTGTGCGCACATTAATTGTCAACATTTTTCTTGGATCAGCTACCAAATTCAAAAAGAACAAACTAAACATATTGGAACCACGTTGAAAACTGTAGTTAAGGCCTCGGACAGACAAACGAACATACAGGAAAGTATCTTAAAATAAATATGTCCATTGCATAATCACGGTCAATTGTTTCAACCACACGGAACTACACTTTAAAGGCTGGCGGGTTTGAGGCGGGCCTGCTTCCTAGTCCTGTTTTGTGTTGGCCCAGTAAAAGTCGTAGTGGAAAACCTAATAACATATCATAACAGTCCAAATTGAGAGGTATAAAACGTTATAATCAGTAAAGTCAAATCTTCTCTACAAAAAGTACAACAACGAAGGGTCCCTTTTCACTAGCGGACCTTTACCGCATGCATTTCCTCCCTGCAGTCGAAATAATCTTGTCGGCCTGTGGGGTGCCTGATTGCGGTATCAAGGGTTCCTGGTTCGAATCCGAGTTCGGGCATGGATATCTGTAAATGTATATAGTGGGTTGGTATAGATAGAGTGCACTGACTTGATCGAGTTTTATACAGTTACTGTAGGTAAAGAAGCATTTTTTTAAACGCCGCCCACCTAACAATAAACTTAATAAATAAACAATCTTTCCCCGTCTCCCTCATCTACCTGAAAAGAGTGAATACAAAACAAACTATAAAACGTTCCGAAACTGAAATCAGTGTTGAATTTAAAAACACCAAACCAGTTATCCTTACATTAAATTTAATTAAATTTTAAATCGATCTGTCAAAAACTGAAAAGAAAAAAATTTGGGACTTTGGGAAACGAAGTATAGCAATGTAAGAGTGCTGGCAACACAAACCGAGGCACAAACATCATGTAGAATTTGCAATTTTAAATTGCTGCAGGGTTTTCTAGCTCGAATTTATTTTTTGAATATGGATGAAATTGCTTGAAATTTTGACAATAAGTTGGGAAGAATAGCTCATAGATCCAAAATCTTCCTTGAAGAGAGATTGGATTTTTATTCTGTATTGCGTTATGTAAGCCCAATAACAACCCAGTTATTGCTCGTTGAAAGTAAGCTTTTGTCTGGGCTTTTGTTCATTGAATGCAAAAATCAACAACAGCCAACGTTGAATACCGGGAGCGGCAAGTTTTTAAGTGACTTTTTAAAATAGTCAATGGTAAAAGTCCCTTGCTTAAAAACTAAGGCGAGTTTTCAGCTTAAATTCTTTTAAAAACGAAGGATATTTAATTTATACGATGCCTTACAAACGGTTCTTTGATGGACCCCAAAAAAGAATCGCATTTTTTTACAATTTCCCAGCACATCAGATAGTGAAAGTTGAACCATCTGCTAACGAAAATGTATTAGCCCGACTCCATTTTTCATTTAGGAAAGTAGTGTTATAATGGATGACCTTTTAATAAAATAATAAAATGTTGTACCTATTGAAATATTAATTTAATTAAAACTGTCAGTAAATTAATAACTTAGTCATATGTGGGCTGATTTGTAAGAGTTGAGTGGAGTGTCAAATTCTTTCGTTTGTTATTCGTTTTACTTACTTTCTTTTATAACTTTTGACCAGAAGGGGATATTTTTTAACCCTAAAACCAGTAAGCGCCGGAAGTTTGTGAAGTGAAGAGTATACGTTGAGCAATGACTGTATAAATGTAAATTCATTTGGTGCATTTGAAAAAGCTCCAATTACTATCAAACCGTCGACTGAAAGAAGTACCTATGAAGAAGATAGATCTTTGGTATGCAAAGAACTTGTTTTTTGTACTTTCGGTCTAAGATCGAAATTCAAAAACCGAAAAATATCATCTGGAAATCCCTTCTGAATAATTAATGAAATTCATTTTTTCGAATTGGGGGAATTTGAGGGACACTTTATCTAATCTTCAGTCATTTTTTGAATTCCCACTGAATAGCCATTACTATAATTTGATGTTTGTGGATCGTTTTACATATGTAACCCCGGAATCAAATACATACTGTGTGGTATTTAAATACGATTGCAGTATAGCAATGACATGAAAGGTTGATATACAGGAAACGAGAACGGATCGAAAAGGCATTTTGTGGATGCATTCTAAAAAGGCATATTGTTCCGGACTAGTTCTCGTATGTCAAGGCTTTTCTAATGTTATTGATTCCAGCTTCAATCAAACGACCAAAAAGTAGTAATTATTATTTTACCGTATGACAAAATCGATAAAAAAAACTGACATGTACAAGCTATTCTTGCCTTT